AATTTACAAACAAACAAGAAAAATTCAAGATTTATATTGCATGGTCTCGGTCCCTATCCCGGTCCCGGTCCCAGTCCCTATCCCGGTCCCGGTCCCAATCCCTATCCCGGTATACCCCAGTTTATCCCCATCTCGGTCCCGGTCCCGATCGTATCTGGACATGAAGGACCGGGCTTGAGTTTACCTTCTATCTCGGTCTCAAACCCGTTTCTAAATTTCATCCCGGTACCAATCCCGGTCCAAGTTATATTCTAGACTTCATTTCTGTTTTCCGTAAAATAACGTTTTTTTCTAGAAAAATGATAAAATTTTGTATCATTACAAGTTTGAAGAAGTACAATATTCTAAAATGATGAAATGGACATACCTATATTGTGAAAACAATGGATTCGAGATAACGGATTATGTGGGGACCGATCGATTGGATAATGTGGGCCAACAATCACGTGGAGAAAATCTTGAGTATTGGAAAAAAAAAACGTGACTTGCGTGTGTGTGGTGATTTGGAGTTGAAAAAACAAAGTGAGAATTGTTAAGTTGGTCGTTGGTGGGTTGGTTGGAAATTTATTATATCATAAATGCATTTATTATGAAATGAGGGCAATTTAGTCAATTTACAAAGCAAAATAAGRGGAGGGGTCAGAAATTTGAGGTGGAGGGGTCATAAATAGATAAAAATCAAAAGGGGGTCAAAAGTCCAAAGTGGTTATTGAAAGGGGTCAAAAATCYCAATTTCCCACTACTTTACACAGTTAATCAAAGGGCTATTTATATGAATGCCCTTATTCCTGACTACTACAGCAATTACCCCTAACTTACAGTAGGTTTCATCCACGGTAAATTTTTCACAAGGTTTTGATATTTCCAATTTGGTCCTTCATCAAATAGGAAAYTATTTCATGGTATCTATACATTTTACTCATAGTCATTTTATAATCACTCTCTTAAACCAAAACTTACACATAATTTGCACTCATATGTTCATATTTGTGAATGAGGTAGTTGTTGGTAAATAATTGCTATATAGGTAAACTGAATAACATTACCAAACAATTTATAACATAACTGACTACAAACAATTACATATCTTGACAACTTGATTAACAYCAAAACTTGATAAATATAGTCGAGACACACTTCATTAGCGTTGACCTGAAGACAACCATTCGCTCTGKACAAGTTGCTAGCAGTACAACGATCGTCAGCATGATACAATAACTAACTCCAGTAGGATTGCAACCTCGAAGTACTGGCTCCAGTAGGATTGCAACCTCGAAGTACTGGGATTTGACAGAACTTTGAGATACTTACTCTCAACACAAACAGGAACAAAAGAAGAGAGAATTTTTTAAGAAGAGGAAAAACTCAAATGAGAATACTTGATATCTCAAATGAGGAAATCACAACTATATATGTACAAACAAGTAACCCCTCGCACAATTTAGAAACTTAACATAAATGTAATCATTTTTTGCAGAGGTAAACAAAATCGACAAACAACTCTTTATTTAAACATATAACTAGCTTCAATTTTAGTAAAATGAAGAAACATAACAACTAAAGAAATAAACAAACAATTGATAAACAAAATGGAAAAAAATTCACAACGTGTATGTATGGTTTGAAATGTTGATGTCGACGAAAATGTCGAGGTTCTAATTTACGGATATGTCCCTCAATAATCTCCTTATTTCTTATTTTCTCTTTGATTTCTTCTATTATCACTAGGGTTTCATTCTCATAGCCAATAGTCACTTAATCGGTTTCTAAACAACTTCGAAGTCGATCTTGGCCTATTCGTTGTCATGCATGTTTTATCCAAACTTATTCAGGAACACACGATTAGAGTAAATAATTATTGAATAACTTTTTAAATAGAATAATTTAAAAGTTAAATATGGGTTAGTCTTTAATATTTTTATTTATTTATTTAGTTTATTGTTTTAAAAGTTTTAATTTAATCGGTAATATGTTTCTAATTATACAGTTTTATGGGTGAAGCTTAACAACATAGTATTAATAATTGATTAAGCCACTAGTAGAGGCATAAATAATAGGTGAGGTCTTAATTCCTTCGGGGAAAAAAAAGGTGAGGTCTTAAAAAAAAAAAATAATTGAAAAGAAAATAGTAATTCAGAAATTAGAAAAATGAAGCGAAATTTACGTGATAATTGCTTGCTCAAAGCCCATAACTAAGCGGGAGTATAAGAAGGCTTGGGCCCTGTTCGTATGAGAAATTAGACGGCCCAGAAAACTTTTTTCTGTGGGCCGAAAAGAAAAAAGATACAGAAAAATGAGATTAATTTGGAGATGCGGGGTATCGATCCCCGTACCTCTCGCATGCTAAGCGAGCGCTCTACCATCTGAGCTACATCCCCATTTGATATATACAATGATATAGTTAATTTSTTASTTATATTTTAATCTCAAAATTGATGGATTAAAAAATATTGGTTAAAATACTAGTCCATATAATTTAAGTTTTGGTTCATTTTGGTCTTGTATTTTTTACTTTGGTTTATTATGGTTCTTGTACTTTCAAAATGTTCGTTTTAGCCATTGCACTCTTAAAAAGTAACAATTTTGGTCACTTAATTTTATTTTTAATCTTATTTTTTTTATCACAATTTACAACATTATACTCAATATTTCTTGAAATGTAATCATTATTTTATATTAAAACACTTTCAAATTTGTGTTAAAAAGTTTACCAATAAAGACTGAAATGATCACTTTTTTAAAGTACAAATATTATCAAAACGAACCCCTTGAAAACACGATAACTAAAATGAACAAAAGTTGAATTTATAAATTCCAACATGAAAGTTGAAGTACCAAAATGATTCAGAGTTAAAGAATATTGTAACAAGAATTTTGTGGCCTATTGTTCATAATAGAGCCTATACTTCTATTCTAGCTAGTCTAGAAAAGGTAGGAAAAAGGAAGTAACTCAATTGAAAGGGTGAACATTTATACTTTGGTGTAGTTTCCTCTCCACTTATCCTTCATCATTATTATTTTTATTTTTTGTTTATTTATATTTATTATTCCTATTGAAGATTTGAATATATAATTCACCATCCTTCAAATTCTCTCTCTTTTTAGTGGGGAATGAGTAAATATATATATATATTTCAATTTTGAGGTCATTAGGTGCATTGGATAGAAACCTTTGAATCTCCTTTAAATGTTAAGAGTTGGGACCAAATCCCATGACAATTATAAGTAAAAAGGATTACAAATTTATAATAAGAAACTTTTGGAATAGTATAAATCAAAAACCAAATGAATGTAAACCAATGATCATCACTTGATTTGAGGTTATAAATGAAGTTGCATACCAAACAATATTCACTGTATAAACTGAAAGTATATATTTGTATTCCCATTCATATATAAACTTGGTCAGCAACATACACATATCTGATCAGATGCATCCATGCCTTTTAGTTCATCACAAAGCAGATGTAAATTATATGTGTTTGAGTCGAACATTTTCATAAGGAGACAGTTGCTCAACTTCTTATACATCTTCAGAATCTTTGTTCTTTGATTCAGCACTTTGATTGGCTTCCAACTTGGGAATTTTTACCTCGATAACCATGTCGTTTTTGACACGCGCCTCCATTCTCCGCCAATCAGCATCGTCGGGCAACTCGAGCCGCCGAACATATCCATGCTCCCACCAGTTGACACTTCGCCAGTCGATGATCGTCTTGCTTTCCCTCTGCTGCTGCTGCTTCAACTGACCACTTATCTCTAAGACCTTCCCATTCTCTATGAAGATCTGCATTGTGTTTCTCACAGCTTCTGTTTTTGTCAAATTTTTGCTTTGTGTCAATGAAACATATCACCCAAGTTTTGTACCATAAGTAGCAACAGAATTGAAGGCCTTGGGAATGTCTTTTTAAATGTAGTTGATACATAATTCACCATTAAAATCTATTCTCTCTTATCATCCTTTCAACTTCAACACTCTCTGCAAAATAAATGTTTGAGAATGCTTTTAACTATGATAGAAGTTAAAAAGCACTTCCTACGAAAAATATATATCTGTATTGACTATTATTTATCATCCATTACAAAAATCTATACTTAAAATGCTTAAAAAAAATTAAAAGATTTTGGGTGGAGGGTGCTTTCACTAGAAACAGTACTGCTGTTAAAATTATTAAAGAATGCTTAATATAAAAGTCTCAATTGTTTAATTCTGGTATTTCAAAAATGCTTTTGATCCAGCTAGAACTATTTTTGAAAGATTAATATTTACGTAACAAGTATTTCTCCAATGGATAAATCACTAAAAATGAAAATAATTATAAATACAAACCAAACAAATTAAGTGAGAGATTAGTAAGAGTAATAACAATAGTTTTGGGCTCTTGAGACTTGAAGTAGGAACGTGGTTATTGAAGTTTCAAAAAGACCTAGGTCATTGAGATTTGAAATGATTCTAAGTAGTTATTATTGAGCTCCCCTAACCGTTTGTTGATTAAGGTTAAGATGACGTAGCGGTTAAATTGTTGATTGTACCTATTGATTTGACAAAATATATTAATTTAATAATATATTTGTGGTGACAGGACTTTCTTTCTCTTTTCTTCTTCTCTTCCTCTCTCTTTCTCCTACCACACTGCCAATCGTTTCTCTCCTGGCTCGTCACCCCCTCTTTGCTATGCTATCGTTATTATTGGTGTATCGTCAAAGGATGCTTGTTCCTCGTCAAATCAGATATAAGGGATGCTTCTCATCCCAAATTCAATGAGGAACACCCTCGTTTCAAACACTCTTCMCTGAATCTTCTAGATTTAGAACGAGTAATATTCCTAATTGAATCGCTTCTAGATATGGAATCAGGGTTTCTCTCATAAAAGAGAAATGATGGGTACTTATTTATTCCATATTCAAAGGGGAACACCCCGTTTTAAACGCTCTTCATCGAATATTTTAGATTTGAAACAAGTACCATTCCTCATCGGACCTTGTAGATTTGAAATGAAAGTTTGTCTGTGAGGGTGACGATATAGAGAGAGATGACAGGTGTTGGCAACATTCATAAGAAAGGGAAAAAGAGAAGCTAAATTAATCAAATAGGAATGACTCTTATAAGATCCAAAAATGGGGTGGTTGAGAGGCGAGGAGGGAGATCGAGAGTGACCGCCAAACAACCCCTACGCACGGGGCAGGCAGCACCACCTACAATCCTCTCATGGGCGTTCGGTAAAGCAATCGGGAAACTGAATCACGCGCAGTGCATCAGCGTTTCTTTGTTGAGGTCCACACGGGGGAAACGCTGGCAAAATACCCCAAATTTTAAACAGGTTTAGGGTTTGGGTAAGCGCGTGCAGTTCCCTTCCCGCCACCCCCGAAGTTGCTTTCAAAATTGATTCTCCTCCAATTTAAAAAGCTTACCGAGTTGTGGTTCTTTCGATGTGGGAAATGCCCGTGCTGTGAATCAGATTCCTTCGATATTTATTTGTTCTTTTTTAATGTAAAACAAATTTGACTCCTCTTACTATTTCTATCTCATACCAAAAAAAAAAAAAAAAGATATGTTTGAGATCTTTAACTAATTTTTGCAAACTAAGCCCAACAATTTTACTTTTTGGTTTTTTCTTTAAAAATTACATTTTATAAAAAACTATTTATACCCGTGGTATTAAATTTCTGTCGACATTTCCATCGATATTTTCATGTATGATAAATCGACATAACTATAATATTACAAAAAAAATGGACAAAATATGAAAAGTATTAACAAAATCTCATCAATATAGACATGATATTAATATTAATTATTTTTAACTGATTTAGAAATGATGAAATGGTTATTTGTTGATTTAAATAGTTTTTACGAATTTTTTATTTTTACAACTCTTTTAGAAATACTTATCCATATCTACATTTTATGATGTTTTTATTGACATTTTCATGAAATTGAAATCTCGAAATTAACTATCGAAATTTAAAACTTTGTTTATTCCTCGTTTGTTATTTTACTTTTTAAAATACTTTTAAATAATCTTTGTTAAGTTTCTAATTACACTTAAAGATTTTTTTTAGGTGGGAGTAAGCTAGATGAATAAAATTTAAATTGATTTTTTCTTTTCCTAAACCACACTCTTATTTTATTTAGTTGATATATTTTGCCACTTCTTATTGCACATGTTTTTTCTCATCAATCCCTCCTACACACACTCTCTTCTTAGTTTCTCTCTTATAGATCTCTTTTTATTGTCACTCTCTTCAAATGACATTTTCTTTCACTAATCTTGATTCATCTATAGTTAGTGATCTTTTTATGCAATTTTTTTTTTCACTAACGTCTCTCAATACCTATTTTCTTTCACTTATTTCATTCATTTATTCATTTTTATTTTATAATTTCAATGATTTTATTTTTAATTATCCAAAGTCAGTCCAAAAACTCTTCTAATTATACATAAAACATACTCTTCTAAAATAATCTCTCAAGTGGCAAAGAAAAGTACCTGGTAATTCTGCCTGGAGAACATATTCTTGATCAATCTGAAACCAATCGATCGTTGATTTTCCTGAGTTGCGGAGGTTGGACAATAACAAATCCGACTCAAACTCCCACAGCGGAAAAGCATCAGCTGGATCGAAGAACTTTCCGAACAGCAATGGACTGAACAACGAGCCATCGCCGAATACCTTTTGCACAACCGGATTAGCTTGCCCTAGAAATCTTCTGAAAGCTTCTTCTCCCAAAGAAACACTCCATTTTGATGGAGTATGGTCTTCTCTGTGAACTTCTAGTTGTTTTGAAGTGGCCATTGCCAAAGTGAGTAGTTCTGCATAGAGAAATTTGAAGTGTTGGGAGGTATATTATAGTGTAAAGAGAAGGGTTTTGAGAAAAGCTATGCAGAGGACAAATGCTTTGGGAATATTTGGAGGGCTGTAAAGATAATTGGAATATTTCTTCTTTTTTTGGTTATTGGTAAGGTGATAATATTGTGGCAGGCAGATTAATTTATTTGGTTTGCAACTTTGCCCTAGATGCCATTGGATATATGTAAAAAATTTTACCTTTATGAGGAAGACAAAGACAGCTCCTAGCAAGTTCCAAATCAAGTAGAATATGTTGTCATTGTCTTTCAAATGCAAACTCACATCACTCTTTGGTCCAAGTCAATTTGGTTAATTCGTGTTCATCGATAAAAATCGAAAAATGATTCTCGGTTGGTCAATTTTTCAAGTCATGTAATTTAATTGGTTCAGAGATATATTGTCATTTGTCAGTTAATTAATACAAACTCTTATATTACCTTTAGCCTTGATTGATTTGGTTTTTACACTGACAATTGAATGTGTTTATTCGATTTAATCAAACACAATATATTCCATAACGATTTTTTTTTTTCAGTATGTTCTTCAAAAATAACTTAAATTTTAGTAGTTTTCTTCATTTTTTAGCTTTTGCCTTTTAAAAAATTATTGAAATCTTAGATAAATAATTAAAACAAAATAAGTTTTTAAAAACTACTCTAATTTATATTTCTTTGTTTCAAATTTGGCTATAAGATTTCACAACTATTTCTTTAAAAAATTAGAATAGAAAAACAAAGAAAATTATTCCTAATAAACATGATTTTTGTAAATTTGACTATTTATAGCTAATAACAAAAATATTAGCTATAAATAGTCAAATATTTTGGGCTCGATCTCTTATTTTTCTTAAACAAAGCCATGTCAGTTTACTAATAATTTTTGTCCAAAAAAAAAAGAAAGAAAAAAAGACCCGACCCGACCTGGCATGCTTGCAACTTGAATCTAGCACACATGAATTTGGTTTGCATAGGTAATTATTGGAAGATTTTTTTATAAGTAGAAATGGAAGTTTTCGATGGGTTTAAAGGAGATTCTAATCCTCTAAATTTTATGTCAATCATTTGACGTAGTTTTTGTTTGTTTTTCAAAGATGATGAATCTTCTTCAGGCGAAAGATGATAAGAAGGATGGAAGACAAAAGTCACAATGCTCGAATCGATACAACATTTCTGACTTAAATTTAGTCCACACGAACGTTATACCTTCGTATTCTTCCTTTATCTACCTATCAAATTTACATTTTTTTTTAGTTTCGTGTTGAATCATCTATGAACTAAAAATTTAAGCGGGTGAATGAATGTAAACTTAATCGTCTTTTATAAATATCTAACACTTTTATTTAATAACTATGGGTGGATTGTTTTGTTTACTTATAATTTGATTGATGAACTAAATTATGATGAAGGAAAAACTAAATTTTCATTTCAAATCTAACGCTACTATAATAAATTGCACTTAAAAAAATCCACATTCCTCTAGTTATAAAGGTAATAGAGGAGTTCAAATGTTCGACAAAAAGATAGAGCTATACCCATGCCAGTAAAAATAGATTACATGTTGGTCGGTGAATTATTATAATTTTTGTTTGGGAAAGGGAATTATGTGTAAATCAACTATTGTCACACTACTTAAAAAAAACTATTTTGTTACATAGAATACAACCATTTTTAAATTTTAATTACTATTATCAAAATCAATTATGATATTTGTAATTATTTTATGTAATAATATATTTTACAAAATATTGTAGAAAAAAAATACCCATTTAAATTTTCCTATGCAAGATCATTTTTAAAACGGGCCTTTAATCATAAAGATTAAACTTTCTTGAAAATTTGGTAAGTGGAATCAATTTCCATCCTCTCTTTGTTTTTATGGGTTTATTTTTTTCTTTTATTTTTAAGAGGTCTTCTTTTAATAAAAAGCTGTGGGAAAGGAATATATATTATGGGTGGTGTTTGTATCTTATCTTTTCTTTTTAAGTACAAACATTCCATATTCTTNTTTTCTTCTAAATGGAATTGGCATCTTTGAGAGTTTCCTTTTATAATTATTATTATTATTATTATTTTCTTCTTCTTTTCCTTAAAGCAATATTGGAATATGCTTGTTTAGTGTATTGAGTTTTCAGCTCTAAAAATTCCAGTGTCACATTGGGAGGAGGAGGGGCATTCAAAATTCTTGTTCAAACCTCAACTTTTTGACAAGTGAAAAATATCTGCCATTTGTTGCAAATAGATATGTTGTTTCTTTTTTTTTTTAAATTTTTTTCATTGATTTTTTGTATTTTAAATTTCAATCATCATGATTGAATCTTTATGTATTAAGAAGTAGGTTGAGATGAATCGAAATTTAGTTAAATGCATCTTTAACAAACTTATATAATTTTCCTAACTTCACAAATTAGATTTTGCCAATTTAGCAATAATTGGAGGGTTCAAGATGACATTCATGTGGGGGCAGAATTGAGATTTAGTTTTTATTTTCTTATATATATAAATGTATTTCTGAATGAATATGGCTACTTTCACATTCCTTTCCTTCAGAGTAGAAGGAGAGACACATTTACTACATTTCTATAGTTTTTATAAAAATCAAGTTTAAAGTGATATAACAGAAGAGACATGTAATCAAAAAAACAAAAAAAAACAAAACAGAAGAGGCATATAAAATTTATGTTAAAACTTTACGTGCTTAGCCTCTTAAAAAGTTCTAAGGATACGTATGTTTTTTGGAAATGTAGATGCTCGACATCGATAGATACCTGAAATTTATGATGTTCAGAATTTTAGATGTCCGACATCTCCAAATAGCTACATTTGTTTTGTTGAAAAATTTATAAAGATATTCGAGAATATTTTGGATAGTCAAATTTGTTTGGTAACATTTATTAATAGGAATGTTTTAAATTTATAGAATGTTTCAAAAATGCCCTTACAAATATTCATATATTTATACCTTCCTTTAATATAATAAATTTATTTGAATTAATTTAATATTTTATTTTTTTATATGTTATTTTGTAGAACAAATTAATTCATATTAATTTAATATAAATTTTATTTTCAACWTATTTTTCCTAAAAGAAAATCATATAATTGGTGTTACCTTAGATAACATTTATTTATCTTGTCACCACATTATATTTTTTTTTAATAGGAAAATTATCACAGGTGTGTCGGTCATAAAAAAAAAGTTACTTTAAAATTATATATTTATGATAATAAAAATATTAAAATAAACGAAGATATTAAATATAATTTAATTGCAGTTTATTTTATATGTAAATGTAACGTACCAATATACTTAATTATATAAAGTTGTTTATTAGACGTTGAGTACATTAATTTATTTAAAATATAATTTGAAAAGAAAAATAAAGAATATTTTTGAGAAAAGATGAAAGAAAATACATGAAAAAAAATGAAGGGTAAAAATATAAAGAGTTATGCTCTCACACCGTAAAAATTAAGTTTGTACCATGAGAAAAACCTTAAAACTAGATAGATGCCTCTTGTATGGCATGCTAGCATCGTAGGATACTTGATCGAACATCTTAACTTTAAATAGTAAACTTTTTAATTTGTTTTCTAAAAAAATGTTCTATACTTTCTATATTATAATTTATAGTTAATAACTAAATTAGAGTGTAACAATTAATAAAATTTTCATTAAAGCTAAAAGAATAAAAGAAAATATATAACATTAATAATGTTATCGAGGAAAATTAACAAAATTTTAAAAAGAATTTAAAATGAAATTAAATAAAAAATCAATTCAATAGATTTTAATAAATTTTGGTTTAAAAATCTAAAAATATTATTAAAATAAATTAAAAATTAATTATCTAATGGGCCGGACCAAGCCCATTCTAAAGTTTGATTGAATGGACTAAGCCAAGTCCAAACAATATCTTAGGCTAGTAGACTTCAACGTAACGATGAGACAAACTTTAAACATAGGGAGGGATAAGTAGACTATAGATTATACGTAGATTCAAATTATATAAATGAATTCATGTTTCAGATTTTACACTTTGTCTTAAAATTCGTATAGAATTGAGTTCCTTTAGAACTTTACAAATTTACCCTCTTAATATATATTTAATAAACACAAAAAATCAAAAATAAAATTTGCAAAATGGAAATTTTGGGAGATTTAAAGCAAACATCCCTAAATTAAATTGAATATTTTAAATCCCTTATGATAAATGAGCTACCTCAATAATTATGCTCAAGAACTCTATTATTCCGTGAACCCCACAACAGTAATAACAATAACCCCAATAACTAATTGATGAAACAACCCAAAAAAGTTAAACAAATTTTACTTAGAAAAATACGAACAACGATCTAGAATAAATGAGAATTTGTTTCAATATTCAAGATTTCAAACTCTTCACAACTTAATTGATCAAACTAGATTGAAATTTATAAATACCAGAATACAAAGAAAGCTTAAAGCTTTGAGAGAGACTAAACTCAATTTGAAATTCTCATTCATCCAATGTTGTGTTTGAAAACCAAATGTACACATCTATTTATAATAATTGAAAATACACAATGAAAAGACACAACTCTTCGTCTAAGTAGTCCAAATTCAGCCACCACCTCTCAAATCCATTCCTGAACCCTTTTAAATGCAAATACAAAATTTGAAAGATATACAATGCATTAAATATGTGAATAAATCTGGATTATTTGATTCATGAAGTTTCTTGGAGGACAAGATATCTTTATAAGTTTGGAGGGATGCAATTCTTCACCAAGTGTGAGTACCTTAGTTGGAAGTTGTTTGGGGAAGAGAATACCCTGGACACGTGGAGGACCCCTATTGGTGCTCCAAGATGACTCATGAGTGGTGGTGCTCACTAACTTGCCCCTGAAAAACATCTTCCATAAGCCAGAAGCTTCTGGACGCCTGATGAAGTGGGCAATAGAGCTAAGTGAGTACGACATCCAGTTCGAACCCAGAACTGCGTTGA